ATAAAATTTTTACACGCATTTCTTATAAATGTTATACATTAAAGGAAACGTTCATGTCATCAAATTATGATTTTTTTGGTTATTTTAAATTGTAAAAAAATTATTTTTAAAATTAGGAAGAGACCTGAAAGCAATTTCAATCAAAATCATTTTTCTCAAAAAACGTGGGTGGGGCGGTGTCGAAATGAATTTTCCAATTTGGGACCGACCTGCTCAGATTTTTTGCGAAAAAAATGAACGCGACAGAGTGCCAATGATATTTGAATGCGCGAACTGGTCCTTTAAAAAGTAACCGGGCTGAGCTGACAGTGTGAGCGCGGCTGGGGCTCAAATCAAATCTTTAGGAGCCAGTAGACATAAAAACGAATTCGCATCGCGAAAAGCCCGGCCCGCTTGCACTTTAAAAAGTTCGCGCCGGGCTAGCCATTATCAAACTTTAGTTCGGGCCAAGTCCGCGACTCAGGCCCAACCCGCTCCTCATATCTAGGGGCCAGTTTTGGTCTTGAAAAGTAGGATAGGTCCAAGTTAAAGCAAGTTTTAGAAGAGCCGAGCCGGACCGAAACACGTAGGCCTAAAACCACGGCTCAACTAAAGTTTGCCTTGAAAACCGGGCTGAAAATTTGGGCTCAACTCGGCTTTTAAAAAAATCTAGTTAAAAAAATCTTCATTGCGGACTGATTCACAAATGAAAAAAAACATTAGTAAAATAAATTCCTGTACTCCTCTCCCTCCTCCTCCTCACCCTTCCCCTCTTTTACCTGCCTTATACTATTAGTTAAATAAATTCCTGTAACCTCTCTCTCTGACTACAAATTAAAATTTTACAAAACTCGCTAATACAACTCAAAAACCAATATAAAACCAAAAGTAATATTACACTTCCTCAGCTTCATAACTCGACTGTATCGCTCCGAAAAAACATGACACATATTTTTCATAACAAACATTAGCCTAAATTCGCTCTGCCAAAAAAGGGGAGAAAGTTTTGCCGTACTCTCGAGATTCAATCAAGCCGCGAATATAAATTTATATAAGTGTGTGGAGAATATATTATAATTTTATTTCGGCCATGTTCCGCTTTCGAAACATGAAAAGTGCCATAGAATTCGGACGGAATGTTTTTTACTTAGGCTTATTTTGAAAAGTTTGAGTAGGTAGTGACTAGTTTGAGTAATTAGTGACAAGGTTAAGTTGTAGTGGATTAGTCAGGGAGAATAAACTTAGGTTAGAAACAAGTCTACAAACTCTAAGCCTAAGATTTTTATTCTTAAGCCTACTAAGCCTAAACCTGCTAAGCCTAAGCATACTAAGCCTAAGCCTGCTAAGCCTAAACTTATTAAGTTTACGCTTACTAAGCTGAAGCCTACTAAGCCTAAGCCTACTAAGCCTAAGCCTACTAAGCTTAAGCCTACTAAGCCTAAGCCTACTAAGCCTAAGCCTACTAAGCCTAAGCCTACTAAGCCTAAGCCTACTAAGCCTAAGCCTACTAAGCCTAAGCCTACTAAGCCTAAGCCTACTAAGCCTAAGCCTACTAAGCCTAAGCCTACTAAGCCTAAGCCTACTAAGCCTAAGCCTACTAAGCCTAAGCCTACTAAGCCTAAGCCTACTAAGTCTAAGCCTACTAAGTCTAAGCCTACTAAGCCTAAGCCTACTAAGCCTAAGCCTACTAAGCCTAAGCCTACTAAGCCTAAGCCTACTAAGCCTACGCTTACTAATCTTAAACTTCTGAAGCCAAAACATAGTAAGGGTGAAACTTCTAAGCTTAGGCTTACTAAGCGTCAGCATACTACGCCTAACCTAGCTTACCTTAGGCTCACGAATCATTACGTTTCAAACCGCATGGTCTAACCCTGTAAAACGATACGACTACCTCAAAATACTTCAGATTTACGACAAGCACTATGAATTCGTCATGTTCTTTACTGTTTTGGGCAAACAAAAAAACTAATGAATGCGCAAAAAGGTTTGTTTGGAGCTTTGATGCAAAACTTTTGCTGTGTGTTTTCCGGCTTTTGGCAATAAACTTTGAATAATTAGGCCAAGCCTATTTGAGTTAGGAACAACAAAACTGGTTTTTTTCTGTTTTGTATGATTATAAGAGAGGAGAGCTTAGATAAAAGTGAAAATTGTATTTTTTAAAATTAACTTGGACTCGCCTTTGCCTTTGCCTTTGCCATTGCCTTTGCCTTTGCCTTACTTTACTGTATCCTGCCTTGATTTACATTGTTTTACCTTACCTTACTTTATCTTTCTTTATATTATCATACACTGCTTTATCTTACTCTGCTTTACATCACCTTGCTTCATCTTACTTTACATTATCTTACCCTGCTTTACCTTATCTTGCTTCATCTTACTTTACATTATCTTACTCTGCTATACCATGCCTTACTTTAACTTATCCTACGTTATCTTATTATACTTTACGTTTCTCTGCTTTGCTTTTTTATGTTTTACTTTACGACAACCTGTCTTAAAATGCCCTACTGAATCGTACTTTACCTTGCTATGCCTTACTTTAGCTTACCTATCTTTATCATATGGTATCTTTGCTATACTCTGCATTACCTTATCCTGCCCGTAAAATATAAATAAAATCCAATATAATTTTAAAAATTTATTTATTAATTAAATAATTAATCCAACTTCATTAAGACTACAGTACAACAATATAAATAAGAAAAAGATGATAATTAATGCTTTGAAACCATCAGAAAACAACACCAACTCTTATTAAAATACGATAAATTTGTTTGAAAAAAGATTTGCGACATACAATACTCGTACTCAACGTACTATAACAGTACTATCTATGCCAAAAGGTATACAGCGTTTCTACTGTAGCAATGAAAAAAATTTGTAAAAGTAGACCTTTTGTTATAATATAAACTGGCAAAAAAGTTTTGTCGTCAATTTACATGCATTTTCACAGTCAAAAACGACAAAACTTTTTTGACTTTCTAGTATGGTACTGTAATGTAAATACAAACATTAATTATGTGATAACACGTGAGGGACCTTCGACAGTGTTATTTAAAAACGTGTTCCTGGGTTGGGGAGAAGAGAGAGTTACTTATCTTTATATGCGATCATGATATATGTTGTGATATATATGGTAAAATATATATGTTTTAATATATATGTTATGATATATACGTGATGATATATGTTATGATATATAAGTACAAAGAAGTTAAGTTACACTTTTCGATGGGAGTGTTAGTTGTGAGGGAGGGGTAGATTTGAACATGAATTAATATAAAATACAGTGGAACACCTGTATAACGAATCGCTCGGAGATTGGAAATTTGTTCGTTATAAAGGAGTTCGTTATACAGAAGTCTTAAATGCACTGTGCAGTGATAGACAGGGATTCAAAAGTTGTTCGTTATACGGAATATTCGTTATACAGGAGTTCCACTGTAATTAAATATAAAAAAGTTTGGTTATACTGTGATAAATGATAATTTATACATATAACATATAATTTACAGTGTAACTCCTAGACAAAAAGTCGCCTGGGAATTTTAAAGCTGTTCTTTATACAAAGTTTTTGTTATAGAAAGGGTCGCTACACAGGAGTTCCACCGTAATATAAAATACAACATATAATACTTAAAAATTGGGTTATACAACATGAAATAGAAAAGATATCAATATGTTATAAAATCAAAGATATGATGAAAAAAGTAAGAACAAAACGTAAAGAATGATAAGTAAGACCAAAATAAAGGCATCAATACAGAAATTGATAAGGAAAATAAAGTTGATTATGATTCCATCTACACAGATTACTAATGATATTTTTAGCTATCGTTATTATATAAACCTTAAATTACTACAATTTTACTAAAAAAATTTTTAATTGTATTAAAACACTAAAAAAAGTCGTGTCGTCAATTACAACTAACATGTATAGTAAAAAACGCCAAGACTTTTTTAAGTTTTTGGTTTTACTGTAATCAACTAAAGCAAATTGAATATGTCATATTACTTAAACTATAAATTAAAAAATCTAGAAATAAGATTTTGAAGCTAAGAAGTCATCGTACTAAAGAGTAATTGAAAAAAATAAATTTGTACTGGTATTATTAGTTAAGCCTTAGTTACCGTATGCTAAAGATTCAGCGGGTTACGGTTGATTATTTTTTAAATTATTGTTAGTTATTATTTAAAAATGTCATATAAGCTACAATCAGGTTGTTCAAATAATTCTGTGTCCCGTAACTCCAAAAATTTGTTTTGACAAAGAGCTCAAAATTATTTGAACAACCTAATACTAATTGGTTATAAAATCATAAAAAATTACTAAAATCTCAAAAAATTATTAACATCACTTTTAAAATGTCATAAAATTATAAAAGTTACCTTAAAATGTCATAAAAATTGCTTGGACGTAAAGTTTGTGTTTCGACCTGGTCATGTTGATACCTATACCTGAATCAAGTTGGTACGACAAGAAAGCTATTCTCAGATTATTTTTAAAGACTGTTATCGATAATTATTGTTAGTTTCTTTGTTAAAAAGCCCTGGGATTTGAAATTACTTTAGAGTTTTGAATTTTAGTACTAGTGGTACTAGACATGGGTTTCGTACTGATAATACTGGTATTAGAGCTGCATTTCAACATGATAACACTAGTACTAAAATTGGCATTTATAATGATAGTACTAGTAGTAGACTTAGACATTAATACTGATACTACTAGTACTAAACTCAGACATTGATACTCATAGTACTAGTACTAAACTCAGACATTGATACTGATAGTACTATTACGAAACTCAGACTTTGATACTAGTAAGCATTATCTATCAAACCATCTACAGTATACCATGTTGTGTTATGCCCAGTAGAATATTCCATACTGTACCAAAAGCGAGAACAGTACTATATACTGCGCTAAAGCTAATTACAGTACACCATATTCTACCAAAAGCAAGTACAGTACCCCACACTGTACCAAAGTCAACTACAGTACTCCATACAGTAACAAAGCCTCAGAAGTTAAACTCATTCTTGACTCCAGCCAAACTGGGCTGCGCTCGTTGATCAGAAGGCCCTGGTTCATTGGTCGACATCAACCCCAATCTCAACAGTATCTCTTTTTCAAAACCCAAATGGCACAAATTCAGATGCTGATCCATCATTGTAGGTATCAACCCCAAATTCTGCCCTTCTTGAAACAGGACCATCAGCTCGCCAGTCAATGGAACGTTCTTGCTCATCTCATTCAGACAGTAGAAGCCCAAGGCACGGAATGGCAACATGCTTTCGGTCTGAAAAATTTGTTTTTTAATTGAAATATTTAAAGAAATTAAATTATTTAAATAAAATAAAAAGAAATTAATATTTTAAAAAAATTTAATTAAAAATTTTTTTTAAAATTAAATATTTTTGAAAATTTTTTTAAAAAATATAAAAAAATTTTAAAAAAAATTTAAAATACAGTAAATTCACTACAGTAAGAAAAAACAACTGACCATAGTCATGATATTCTGAAGTCTGGAATTGTGAGCTGTTGGCCCAGCACAATGGTCCTTTAAAGCATTCACAATAGTGTGGTAATGCCTGTCAATCACACCAAGTTCAGCCAACTTATTAGTTTTGCTGTCTTCAACTGAATCTAAAAAAAAAGTTTTTAAAATAATTTTTCTCTATGGCTTTAAAACACTAATTTTATAGTAGACTTGGTATAGAAAGCATAGTTTTTTAAACTTTTTATTTTAAATTTTAATCAAACTATATAGGTTGTTCAATTAATTCTGTGCCTCCTTTCAAAGCAAATTTTTATAATTCATTGGCTCAGAATTATTTGAACAAACTACTATTTCAAAGCAAAAAAAAAGACTTCTCCTCACACCAAATGGGCGGAGCCTAACTCTATAGCTTGTCTCTGATTGGCTGAGACAGAAAAATCATTGTTTTTAAAATTAAATTTTTTTTTGAGTTTTAAGCTCATCTACCTAACTAAAAACCAAAAATTTATAAAAATTTGAGTTTGCAAAAACTTTCTTTCCAAAATTTTTTTTCGCAAAAAAAATTTTTTTTAAGTGTTTGAAAACCCTTACCAACTTGATGTTTCAAAAACTGCAAAACAATCATGGAAGTGAAGGCATTGTTGCTTTTGTCCCATTCCACAATCGTTTTGACTCGGTTTGAAATCACAGCCATCGTGCGGAAGAACGTTTGGAAAGCTCCAGGCATTTCGTCGATTTCGATTCTGTCCCCGGTGTCAAATACAATGAATTCGGTGGTTCTGGAAATGAAAGATGATCTACCATCGACACAAAATACCGTACCCTACACTTACTGTTCCGTACCGTACTATACCGTGCTGTACCGTACCGTATCGTACTTTACCCTACCCTACCCTACCCTACCCTACCTTAGTCTTCCTTAGTCTTCCTCTACTCTACGCTTTACCTAGTATACCGTACTCTAGTGTATCCTTCTACCCTATTTTTTCATATTAACTACCTAACACTACCCGGTCTTACATTACTGTAGTCTGCTCTGCCTTGCATTCCTCTACTCTTCTCTACTCTACACTTCCGTACCCTTTTACTCTACAGTATTCGACCTTATTCCTTAAAGACTAGTCTACTTAACCCTTAGCACAGTACTGTCATGAATACAATAGAGTAAAAAAAACGTTTTTTAGTGAAAGATTAGTAAGACCTACTCAAACGTAGCCATTCTCATGGCATACTTGGTTGCCAAAAAAGGGAAAAAGTTGCGATAAGCCAGTTTGGTGAAGGTAGAAACGTTCAAATCCTCAAACTCAATCTTCCGAAGACAAAGCACCATTGAAGTAAACTCCATGCACAGAATCCTCTCCAACGTTTCGTAGTCGGGATTCTTCTTTGGCGTGGGAATAGTATTAACTGGTCGATTATCATAAGCCTTCTGGATCACGCTGAGAATACTCAAAGCTGGTGCCATTTCGTGATCGTGCTGCTGGACAGTCTTGGCTTTGGATGGTAGACGACCACGACGACCTTGTAGGCTTCCGTATCTTACAACTTCACGTACCATACCCACTTGAAGGCACTTTTGGAAACGGCAGTACTGGCATCGACTGCGGTAGCGTTTGTCGATTGGGCAGTTCTTACTTCCAGCACAGACGTACTGGGCACGTTTTTGGACGGTACGCTGGAAATTTGAAAATTTTTCAGTATTTGATATTAAATGGCATTTAAGGCGTAATTTTTTTATTATTTTCAAATTTAAAAAAAAAATTTTATCCCCCCACCAAAAAATTTTTTTACCCTGCCCAAAAATATTTTTGTTTTTTCTAATCTACCAGCCTAAACCTAACAGAAAAATCATTTTTAGTCCAAACTAAGCTCAGAAAAGTAAAAAAAAGTACCTTAAAGAACCCCTTGCACCCTTCACAAGTCCGAGCACCATAATGCTGACAGATGGCATGATCCTCACAGACGGCGCACTTCTTGTCATCATCGACAGGCTGAGGGTTTGACCGTGAACACCCCGCCTCAAAATTAATCAAATTGTGAGGTGGAGTAAGGTGTGAGTTGATATGATTTAGACGGGCTTCCGCTACGTTCCCAAATGAGCTGTCGAACATCCTGGAATTAGTTTATTAAGGTTAGAAGCTTGAGCAAAAGCTTAAAAATGTTCAGTATAACATGAAAAAGGGGCAGGGTGAGGCAGAGCAAGGCAGAGTAGAGAAGGATACAGTAAAGTTAGGTACTATAGAGATAAAGTATTAGGTCGTTCAATAAAGAATGGCTGATTTTGGCCGAAAACTTTAACAAAGCATAACTTTCTTCAACAACAAGTTTATAAATCGAAACAACAACCAGCCGATTCAGTACGTTTTGGCCAACGTTTGACAAGTTGATTCATTCCCTTTTCGTAGAAGTCCGGTCTTCTGGAGACGATGGAATCTCCGAAGCCCGTTTTTACATTACCTTCGGTATTGAAGCAGTTCTGCCGGACCAACGGGTCCAGATGCTTGAAACGTTGGTAATTGGTAGAAGACAAGTTGGGTGAGTAGGGCGAGTGCCAAAAAGTTTTGTAGCCCAGTTCGTGTAGCTTCACCGTGGTCATCTTCAAAAAGCTGGTCTTTTTGCTTACCTTTAAATCCTTGTGGAATCCACTTTTTCAGTGTTTTTAGCTTATCACTTTTCTCAAGGTTGTTGTCAATGGTAGTGGAGGAAACATCCAGCTCAGAATTAAGTCACGAACAGTTGTACGTGAATGAATCTTCTTCCACCATTGCCTTCAGAATCTCATCAATGGATGACCATGGATGACGTAATTTTCCAAGGTCCCGACGTCAGAACGGAAGCGGCTGAACCAGCGAGACGTAGTCCGTTCGGAAGCTGTTCGTAGCCCAAACGCATCGTTGATGTTGCGGGTTGCCTGTGTCGCGTTATTGCGTAACTTGAACTCTTACAAAAAAATTGCAAAAATTTGGTGTTTGACCATTGCCTTTTAAAAAAATCATAACTCAAGTAATAGTTGATCAAATTTCACCAATAAAACATGAAAATGAAGCTCACATTTAGGGCTTTCCAACGACGTAAAAAACATTGCCCAACTATAAAAAAGAAGAAAGTTATGAAGCGACAAAAAATGTAGGGTGAGGCATAGATTACAAAAAGAAATCGAATGGTAGAGCCTAGAAAATATATAAGTCTACTCCGGTAAGATAGAGTGAGGTAAAGTAGAATAAGATCTCAAATACGGTAGGGCCTAAAGAACGGTAGGATATAGGGAACGGTATAACAGAGTAAGGTAGAAAGGCATACCAAAGTACGGTATATATAAAGTAGAGTAGGGTAGGGCAAGGTAGGATAGGGTAGGGTAGGGTAGGGTAGGGTAGGGTAGGGTAGGGTAGGGTATGGTAGGGTAGGGTAGGGTAGGGTAGGTGGGGTAGGGTAGGGTAGGGTAGGGTAGGGTAGGGTAGGGTGGGGCAGGATAGGGTAGGGTAGGGTAGGGTAGGGTAGGATAAGGCCAGTTAACTTACCCAAACCTCATTAATGAATTCGGCAAGCTGGGCGAGTTTTGTTCTTGAGCTTGAGCGGATCGGTTCAAGCTTACTGTAGTGGGCACACCGCCTTGGGCGTGGTTCTGGTTGAGAAAGTAGAGTGGGTTGTAGGAGAATGGCGTGTCCAAGGGCATTTGATAGTTGCCTCTGAAATTTGAAAATAAAAAATTTTTTTTTATAAATTTTACTACACTTACACAACATTAATTTTGGTTTTATATACAGTAGAACTCTGTATAACAAACAAATTCTAAATCGTTAACTAATTCGTTATACAAGAGTCCTACTGTACTTTAAAATCTGTAGTTGAATACACTTTGTAGAGCTAAATTTGTACCTAACACAACTTTTTTTAGACTAAATTGTAGTCAAGCTTACTGTTATTGAGCTTAAATTGTAGTTTACTTTGGTTTTACAGAGCTACATTTGTAGTTAATTTTAGATTTACAAAGCTAAACTTGTAGTTAATCCTACTTTTATGGAGATCATATTGTAGTACGCATCTATTTGTACTCTACTATAGATTTTTGTCTAGATTGTAGCTTCAAAACTTTGGTGTGTTAGTAGTCTGCTACTGTAATATACTAGGCTTGTTTAAAAGCACGGTTTGTACAGTAGACAGTTCGTACTCTAGGGCGTACTTATAGTACTTAAAAATCTTTCTTCGTATATTATTTTGTTTAGTTTTAAGTTGAAATACGTATATAGTATTGTTGTTTTTAAAAAGATACTAATTTGTTAAGTTTTTGAAGTTTGGTACTATATAGTACGATACTGCTTGTACTATAAGATTAATTAAAAGTAATATTTATCTAACAAAAACTTAATTTAAGGTTTTTTATATTTTTTTTACTTTTTTTAATTTTTTAGTGTTGGTACTATATAGCACGATACTGAAAAACCAAAAAATTTTAAAAAATTTAACTTTTTTTTAATTTTAAAAATTTTTAAAGTCACCACCCCTCCCCTGCTAACTACTAACCGATTATGTACATGCCCACCCCGCCTCGACGTCTCCATAACACCGTGCGACATGAGCGGGACGGGCTGCATCCCGCCCGCATTCATAACGGCCGCCGCACTCATCGAGGTGGGCGGCGGGTAGAAGGTGTTGCTGAAGAGGTTGTAGTTGTCGAAGGGCGTGGTGGGGGTGGATGAGTTGGATGGGTCCGTGTTGAGAAAGAACGCGCCCTCGGGCGACGCTTTTAGGTCCGCACAAAAGTCGGCACCGGTGGCTAGGGGGGCCGCCGGAAAACCGCTCATACACGAAAAGTCCAGCCTGTTCGAGAGTCGGACCGGGAGTGGGAATGAAGAGGGCTTAAATTTGGTTGGAAGGGTTAGTTTTGGGTTGGAATAGGGTAAAATTCGCGAATTATGATAAAGATTAAAAATTGAAAAAAAAAATTTTTTAATTAAAAAATTTTTAAAATGAAAAAAAAACTTCCGCGCCTTAATATAAAACTGCAAAAACATCTTTTTGACCCATAGTAAAACAAAAAAAAACGAAAAAATTTTTTGACCCCCCCCCCTCCCAAAAAAAAATTTACCACGCCCACCAAAAGTTTTTTTTCAAAATATTGTGTTTGGCCCCCCCCCCCTGTTAAGCATTCTCAAAATTAATGTAAAACAAGGGCAAAAGAACTCGCCACCATATAAAGTTATCCTCCGCCTTCCCCTACCGTCCCCTACCCTCTTACGTTATAATCACTACGCCTGTCTACACTACATTCATATACTGTCTTTATACGAAAAGTTATTGTATTTTTGGAACAAGCCTCCCACCAAATAAGGCATCAAAGACAGTAAAAAGTCTGCAGAATCTAGAGATAGACTGGCTACAAACTTTGCACGAAATTTGCATAAAAAGATAGTAATTTGCATAAAACACCAAAAATTTTAAAAATTTCAAAACCCTGCTAAACCACCCCTAAACCAGTCTAAGCCCGGGTTAATTAACAAGTTACAACCGGCACATACAGCCTTTAATCATCATTGTCTAATACTCATCCCAGCGCACGTCAAAGACAATATTTTTGCGGCCCTTTATTGTGACGCATACTCGACTTAACCTTTGGCCGAAATGTCGCCCGAAGTATTAAAAATGCCATGATCTTATAGTATCTGGTTGACTAATACTAAAGATTTTGGGTTTTTTTTAAACTTTGGGATGAGTGAGGGAGTTTTAATAGGTTCAATAAGCCTTTGGTACTGAATTGGGATAAAAGCAGGGTGGGGTAACAAAGCAATAATTTTTTTTTAAATTTGAAAAAAAAAACTTTTAAACTCTTTTTTCTAAATTACCCCACCCAAAATCTAAATTTTTAAAAACACGCTTTTTAAAATTACCACGCCCAAAAAAATTTTTGTTTTACCCTGCCTTAAATTCAATTTTTCTTCAATATAATGTAAATCTTCGCCCTATTTTACCTTGTCCATTTCTGTTAACAGCCCTACCTTATCCTGACCTAAAATAGCCCTGCCCTACCCTGTCTGCTCTAAAATTTTGTTTCGAATCCCTACCGTACTGTATTTTCTTCTAACATACCTTACCTTTCACTAAAATTTTGTTTTAAAGCTCTGCCATGCTGTACCTTACCTCACAATAGCCTTACCCTACCCAGCCCTATAATTGCCCCGCCTTGTTTTAAAATTTTGCTCCAAAGCCCGACTGTACTATACCACCCGCAGTCCTACCCTACCCCACAATAATTTTACTTTGCCCAACACTTAAAATTTAATCTAAAACCCTACCGTACCGTATCCTACCTTGAATTTTTTACCTACCCAATTCAGAGCTAGCAAAGTATCTCTCTTGCAATAGCTTCACTCTGCCCTGCCTGCAATAGCCTTATCCTTCCCTGCTCTAAAATTTTGTTTTAAACCCTTACCCTACTATACCCTGAACTGCCAAGTCTATACCATAGCTTACACAAAAATTGCCCTACTCTATTTTACTCACCCTACCCAATATCACACCTTACTTTTACACTCTACACTTTCCCAATTACACCACCTGGTTATCCCCCCCCCCATTCCCTCTCCCTTTACCATCCCCCCCCTTCACTACTATCTTCCTTTATCACACGCCTGAAACCCCACCGTCTCAAATACTACGATAACCTTCAAAAGCTAATCAAAAAACAAAAATTTGGTTGAAGGCAGCGATTCGTCGGACCGCTTCGCGAAACAAAAGCAAATTATTGTAAAAGCAACACAGCGAAGAAGACGAGGGCCCCCACAAATGTCAAGCCAACCGTCTGAATCAGAATCAAGCCCTCCGACGACGCGTGCCTTTGGAAGCGACAAACAGCCATGGATTGGAGGGGGAACGGAGGGGGCTGGTCTTTGTTTTGAAATTTTAAAAGAAAATAAAATTTTTTTAAATTTAAGTTTTTTTATTTAAAAAATCATTAAAATATTGTCTTAAATTGACCAAAAAGAAATTTTATGTTTTTTTTAATTTAAAAATTTTTTTTGCAAAAAAGCTTTACGTTTTTGAAATTATAATAGGGGGGAAGAGGAGGGGGGGGGGGTGTAAAACAGATGTTATTTAAAAAGTTTTAGAAAATATTTTAACACCTTAGTTGATCATGTATAACATGTTTCTACTCTCACTACAAAAAAGTTACAGTATTTTAAAAGTATTACGCCAGAGCCTAAAAATCACCCCTCCACCTTAAAAAAAATTAAAAAAGTTACTCCCTCCCCCCCCACCTCCTAAATTAAAAAAAAACCCCTCTACTTCTAAAAATTTAAACAATCACCCTTCCAGCTCCCAAAAATTTAAAAAATCACCCCTCCACTCCAAAACCTTTAAAAAATCACCTTTTCAACCCTAAAAACACTAAAAATCTCCCTTCTTTTCAAAAAATTCTTAAAATCACTTCTACACTACAAAAAACACTATAAAAACCCCTCTTTCCAAAAAACCTAAAAATCACCTTTTCACATACAAAAACACAAAAAAAATTACCCCGCCTCTTTCAAAAGACCTCCAAAATCCCAAAAAAGTATCCCCTCCTCCACCACCAACAAAAATTCAAAAAATCACCCCTCCACTTTCAAAAGCCTAAAAAAATCACCCCTTTTTTTCCGGAAAAAGTACCCCTCCCCCACCATTGACAAAAACCCAAAAAGTCACCCCTCCATTTCCAAAAATCCAAAAAAATCACCCCTCCCCCTCCACAATCCCAAAAACTCTCAAGCCTACACATATTATTATTAAATTATGCAAAACGCTAAAAATTACAAAACTGGAAACAAAAGCCGTGTGACAAAGGGATCAGGCCAAAACAATAAAATATTTATAAAAAGTACCATAAGTTGTGGCAAAAAAGATGGGGGTGGAGGTGAAAAATGGCTGCGCAAGTTTTTTGTGGCCAAATGAGTGAAAAGACATGAATTTATGCAAATGAGGGGGTTCTTTAGCCCAAAAAATAATGGATTTTGTAAGTTTTGAGGTAAAGTTTTTAAAATTTTTTATAAATTTAAAATTAATAAAAATTTTTTTTTTGGAAATAAATTATTTTTAAAATGTTACAAAAAGGCACCATACTGTACCAAAATCCCTAAGTTCAAATTTTAATGGAAAATTAAAAAAAAAATGGCTTAGAATTTCAAAAATTTTCAAAAAATCAAAAAAAAATTTTTTGCAAAAACTTTGTTTCCACTATTTCAAAACGCCAAAATTAGTTTTAAAAACAGTTTTTAGTTCCTTACTTTTAGCGCCAAAAAGCCCCTCAAACTGTAACATATAAAAGTTGGCATATTAACATTTAAAAACCTTAATCTTTTGAAGCCTCACTTTTACTTTTTTCGTTTAAAAATAAGAAAAATAATATCAACTGTACTATAACTGTAGCATGTAGGTTTTTTAACTATTATTGTAGTTGCTCTGCTTTGCCCTTCTCTGTGCCTTGATTTGCAATGCTTTGCTCGGTGATATCATGTTTTAACTCACCCTACCCTATCCTACTGTATTCTGCTCTACTTTATCCTATCGTGCCTTATGTTCAGGTTAATAAAACTAACAAAAATGGTTTTAAATGCCAATTTTTAAACTTAAAAAACAATAAAATAAGGCAAAAAATTAACTTTTTTATCAAAACAAACTTCAAAAAGTAAAAAAAAAATTTTTTAGCCAAAAAACCAAAAACATAATCTCCAAAACGGTTTGATCATAAAACGACTGTTCTAAACATATATATATACATATATATAATGAGAGTTTTCCGATGTACATATTTGTGGATGAAGCCGGCGGCTTTTGTTTTTTGTGAAGCGAATCAAAAGGAGAAAAACCGACGGGCGGTCATACGGTATTCGAGGCGCATTTTTTGCAGGTTTAGATTTTTTTTATAAAATATGGTTTATAATGACTTATTATTGAAATTTAAAGGTAGTTTTTACTGTATTAAATTTTTTTTTAGTTTTTAAATTTGGAAAAAAAATTTTTTTTTAATTTGAATAAAAAATTTTTAAATTTAAAAAAATACAGTTTGGCCATAAAAATAAAAACCTACCCAACACTACTTAGTTAGGGCTTTTATACTGACCTCAACATTAATTAAGTAGGGCTTGCACACTTTTCCCAACACTATTTGGCCTTAAATTACCCTCCCTACTTCAGTTTTTTCCTAAAAAATTACCCTAGTCATCAAATACTTTAACCCCTTACCCTCGCCTTTCTTTGCCTTTTCTGTCTTTCCTTCTCTACCTTTATGCCTCCACCTTTTGCTTAAAAAATTGCCATCCCCAATTCAACCCCAAAAACACCCTGCCCAATACCTCACCCCTACCATCTCAACACGATTTTTAAAATGTCCCACTCTTACCACTCCGCCACGCTCTTTAAAATATCCCACCCCTACTGTTCCGGCACCCCTTTTTATAATACGAAATGACAAACAAAATGTGTGTAAACTAATTTGGCTAAACCACTAATCCCTCAGCTATCTTTGGCGCCACCCAACATACGAAAAGTCCCCGGAGACGTGCCAACCATAAGCATACAAAACATAATATTACAATAACAAAGCGACTAATCAATGAGATGATGCAGGGTTCACACGGTTTGTGTTATTACTGACGTCCTATAGTAATGGTCTATTGGTCTGAGCGGGAGCAGGTGATCAAAAAATGACGTGGGTATTGGCTAATGAAGGCAATTGGGGGGAGATTGTTGGTATTTCAGACTAAGGAGAAGAGGGAGGTAAACAAAATGTTAAAAAATGCACGTAAGAGGTTTGGTTTAAACGTTTTTA